AGTTGCTCGACACCTTTGAGAAGGACCGCCCCACGGCAAACCGCCTGTTCTACCTGGCCGTCCCGCCAAAGATCTTCAGCGACAGCTGCAAGAGCATCAACGCCATGTCGCGCGCGAGCAAGGGCTGGACCCGCGTCGTCGTCGAAAAGCCGTTCGGCCATGACCTCGACTCGTACCGCCTGCTGCGCTCCCAGCTTTCCGCATCCCTGACGGAGGCGGAGACCTTCCGCATCGACCACTTTCTGGCAAAGGAGATCGTCCAGAACATGATGACCCTGCGCTTTGCAAACGCCATCTTCGAGCCGCTGTGGTGCCGCAGGAATGTGGAGAGCGTCCAGATCACCTTCAAGGAGAACTTTGGCGTGGAGGGACGCGCGGGCTACTTTGATCACGTCGGCATTATTCGAGATATCATGCAGAATCATTTGTTGCAGGTCCTCGCCATCATTGCCATGGAGACGCCCGTAAGCCTCGCGGCCGAGGATATTCGAGATGAGAAGGTCAAGGTGCTGCGCTCTGTCATTCCGCTCACGGCGGACGACTTTGCCACGGGGCAGTATGTCGCGAATGATCCGTCCACAGTTTCCTATTTGGACGACGAGGGCGTGTCGGAGGACTCGAAGACGCCGACGTATGCCTCCTGTGTGATAAGGATTAACAATGCGCGGTGGGATGGCGTGCCGTTCTTGATGAGGGCGGGGAAGGCAATGCACGAGCGCAAGACAGAGATTCGCATCCAGTTCAAAAATGTACCGGGCGCTTTGTTCCCTGTCATTGACGGCGCGGAGAACAACGAGCTGGTCATTCGAGTGCAGCCGGATGAAGCCATCTACTTCCGCATTGTGTCCAAGGTGCCAGGGCTGACGTCGCGAATGGAAGAGGCACGGCTCAACCTGTTCTACAGGCATGCGTGGGAGGAGTCGAAGGACATTCCAGACGCGTATGAGAGACTGATTTTGGACGTGATCCAAGGCGAAAAGTCACTCTTCATTAGGGACGATGAGTTAGATGTCGCGTGGAGAATTTTCACGCCGGCCTTGGAACAACTTGAAGCTGAAGATGCTAAGAAACCAGAATTGTACGAGTATGGGTCAAACGGACCTGAAAGTAGTAATGAATTGGCAGCCGAGTACGGTGTGAAATGGTCAGATTAGGTTGGGACGGCTGCGTGGTGCCGCTGTAAAACTGGGTTCTCGTGTTTGGGCATGTATTCCCATAATTTGGTAATAATAATATTATACGTCACTACGTGCCCTTCCTCTTTCATGTGCGATCAGTTCTCGCTAGTGTTTCCGCTCTGACGCATTTTCGACAACAACAGGAGGATTCAGAACACCTTCCCAGTATTCCGGTGTATCTTTGCAGTAGTAGTACAGGCATTATCTCCCGCCGTTGGTGAATTGTTGACTGTAGAAAGCATTAGGCAGTCATGTCTTCGCGCTCCGTTTCATTTGGCTCCAATTCAGCTTCAAACGATCCGTAATTTGTCATTCTATGGGCGCATTGTGCACTGCGGCAGTTTGAAGGATTTTTAGCTCTTCTCATTTCCGCGCCTCGCTCCAGCCCTTCCAAGCTCAGCAAGACGATATATTTCTCCGATATACACGCGTGAAGACGCAACGCTCTCCACTCCATGGTCTCCTTGATCAGCGGATTATGTTAGTGCGAGCTGTAGATCGTGTATTACATGTTGTGCGTCAATCGCAACGCGGGTTGCTCCTGTTCGCTCATGCTATATATACACATTCATATACACGGCGCCGATTAGACGACGGAGTGTCTTCCGGCAGCAGATCGCACATCCCTGGAGACGAAATTTGGGCCACTCTACCCCCGTCGTACCGTCGGACCAGACCACAGCGAAGAGCACTGGTCCGTTGCTCCGAAATTGACGGTTCCTCCCGCATCTCCACGACTAAGTTAACCGTTGAGATTCTTTAAAACAAAATCTCTAACTCGCTCGAAACTGTAATGATCATTACCGGGTAGAGAAAGCGTTGCGGAGCCGTCCGCCCAACCCTCTGTGCCAGATTTACCCCCTAACGGTTCTCCTTCGGGACGGCATGAGTCGAAATCTATGATGACTGCTGTATTTTCTTTACTGATCATTATGTTGCTGGGATTAATATCGTTATGACACAATCGAAGAGAGTGAAGATGCAACATTCCTTCCTGTACTCCTTCAAGCCATTTCAAAGCATCCTCTCGTTCCACTGGAGATAGCATCCTCTCTGCTAACGTAGATCTGTACTTCTGCCAACACAAGGCAACAACGCCGGCATCCTTTACGTCACATCCCCAGTACTTGGCAATGTTCGGGTGCTGATTGGATTTGAGAAGCTCGCCAACGTGAGCCTCTTGCAACATAAGCCGAGCAATGTTGTCCTTCATCCCAGGCCCATAGCAGAGAAGCACAGGTTGCTTTCTATGGCACTACGACGAGGCGCAATTCGCCACCGTTAAACTCGCCTCAAACTTGGGGTACACTGCATCAGTCGGGACCCTCAAGCTATCCACCGCACTAAGATAGAGCTTTCCATCCTTGTAAAGCGGTCTTTCAATGCGCGCGACAAAGAGATCATCCCCGTCTCGGTACACAACCGCTCAATGCATAAACTCACCATCTACGCTCCACACGTCCGCCTCCTCCAAAATTTCGATGCCCATGTTCGCAGGCGCTGTTTGTAGTTCTCGTTACCTGTACCAGACTTGCGTTTGTTGCGGTGCGGGCAAGTACCTTGCTGGAGGTCAGTCCGCAAAACTCGTGGTGGAATTGATTAATCTCGGATTTCTTTACGTCCAGCGAGTTGTGGGCAAATGGAAAAAACAACCCGTTATTTTACGGACGACCTTATTAATTCGAAACTTTACAAAGTCAGTTTGGACACCATTTCTTTAACGTACATGCCCTCCGCAAGAACATCTTGCAAAACATTGGGATAGCAGTTGTGAATACGCAGAAAGACTAAGAATCCAATGAAGTTTCAATGTCCAGTTGACATTTTAAACAGGCCTTTTGGTTTCGAAGATATCAACACATAACGTTTTGAGGTTGGTCAAAAAGGCCTCTTTTTCAGGCCTTCTAAAAATGGCTGGAAAAGACGTGCAGATCTCATAAATTCCATCCTTCCGCAACACACAAGTCAGTTGCGGTGGCGAGAGTGTCGTTTTCCTTCTTGTTGAGCAAGCACAAGTCGAGAAAAAATAAGTTGGAAAGTAGCCTTATATGAGGTCACCTGTCATCTAGACACTAGTATGCAACCTCCAAAAGCGGATGTTAGTGTTTAACTCTTGGGTAACCGTAAAGACTGCACACTGCTCGCATCTATATTCACAATCCGACTGACACATCTAATGCTTTGGTGTGGTATCAATAGCCAACAACTTCTCAGCCACAATAAGCTGTGTTTGGGTCAGCTTGCATAGGTAGGCGACCATGAGCAAATCGCGCATGTTGTCGCCGAACAACTGTTCGAAATCGGATGCGTTCATTCTGGGCACCATGGTCAAGGTCTCGGCAAGGAACCTGCCAGTGGTGACATTGCCTTCCACCTCCCCCGCGACGACCGCATCAACGTTCTTCCCGACGACATCCAAGAGCTCCAATAGACGTTCCATGGACTTTTCCAAATTCTCAATCTCCGACGCCATGATCGGCAGCGACTTGTCCCCCTCCTCTCGTCGACGGTTCTTGAACAAGACATCCAGGCCGACCTTCTCGGCCTTCCCGGGCTTCATGCAGACCGGAATCGGGCGCAGTTCCGAGCTGAGAGCGCGATCATTAATCTGATACGCCGTGGAGACGAAGGCGTTGACGTCGAAGCGGCCGCTAACGAGCCCGGCATCGACGAGCAAATGCACAGGGTTCCGGCACTCTCGGGCGTAGAACTCGTGGATGACGACCGAAGAAATGTCGGTCTCGGTGCCCGTGGCGTACCAGCCGACTGGCTCCTCGGTGGTGTTCAGGCGGCGATGAAGGGTGTGCATGGTCTCGTTGTAAATGTTGTCGACGGCGACCTCCTTGAACTCCTTGACCTTTTCGGAATGCGGGAGCGGGAAACAGTTTGTGACCTCGACCGTGCCATTGGCGTTGACGCGCCCCAGCAGAGTCCCGATCACGCGACGCTTGTCGTCCGTGCGGCGCTGATAGTGATCCGCGACGTTGAAGAGCACGACGGGCGAAACCTTGACTTGCCGCGCGCCGCTGTCTTCGCCGCCGACGAAAATGTCGGTCGACTCCATCGTGAATGAAATGCAAAGAACGTCTTTGAGAAGGGCGAGTGCAGACGAAGATGGGCAGCTTCTGCTGCTCAAGTTGCAAGAGAATGGAGTTTCGGCGCTCCTTGACGCGGCGGAGACGACGACCGGGACAACGACCGGGGCACCAAGGACGCCGGCGCCTCAAAAACATCCAAAATTCTCTCTCTGTGTCCTCATTGTACACGTGGCGTACGTGACAGTCCGCCCCAATCGTAGGGCCATTTTGCCTCCGCCAGCAATCACGCAGCCAATGCACCGGCACTAATGCCCCGCATCCCCCCCCCCCTCCTCTGCACCATTCACCCCTGCATCGCGCTCCTCAATCTCCCTCACCTCCCATCCGCGATGCTCTCCCGCGCCACGCTTCTCCGCCGCGCCGCAGCGCTCTCGCGCCGCGCGACCCCGCAGCGGCACTTTGCCGAGCAGGCCGTGGCCGTCGACGGCTCCAAGCTCAAGTTCAACTTCTTCCTCCCGCACGACGCGATCAAGAGCAACGCCGAAGTCGTACGTCGCTCGCGCAGCTCCGATCCGCGCTTTGTTTTTCCTCCTGCGTCGACGCCGTGCTGACGTCCGTCCCCCAATTGCGTATGGCTTGCTCGCGCGCGTTTAGGATATGGTCATCGTGCCCGCCTCCAGCGGGCTCATGGGTATCCTCCCGTCGCACGCGCCGACCGTCGCGCAGCTGCGCTCCGGCGTCGTCGAGGTGCACGACGGCGCGGAAAAGGAGAGCTATTTTGTGTCGTCTGGGTTTGCGTTTGTGCACAAGGACCGCACGGACTTGTGCGCCGTCGAAGCCGTCAAGGTAGGTTTTGCATCCAGACCATCTCTAGCTGTGCTTCGCCAAAGCGAATAGGGCAAGTGCTAACGAATCCCATTGTGCGTGCAATTGCTATCGGTTGGCGATGCGCCGTCTCTCGCAGCTCGAGGACTTGGACCCGAGCGCCGTCGCGAAGGGCCTCAGCGAGTCCGAGGCGGCCGTCGTGTCGGCCAAGGATGACTTGGAACGGGCCGAGGCCCAGATCGGCGTCGAAGTTTACATGGCTATGCAGGGTGCTCTGTCGCTCAAGTAGGAGTTGTCGCGATTTGTAGTTTTGCTATGCAGATGCGCGTAAACGAAAACGGGAAAGAAGGATGGCCCTGACGTTGGCCCTGACTTGAGCTCCCAGGCTAAGTGAGGAGAAAGGCGGTTCTTTTTTTGTAACGGCGACTGTAGCGAAATTTTGCTCTGTAGTCGCGGAGCTGAAGGGCTGGGGGGTGGGGCGGTGGGGCGGTGGGGCGGTGGGGCGGTGGGGCGGTGGGGCGGTGGCCGGGTACCAGGACCACTCTATTGATAAAATAGTTCGAGGCCTGTACCGTCCTGGATTTCGTAGTCACTGATACAGAAAAGCAGGACAAGTAGCAAAGCAAGCAGGCTGTTAGCAAAAAGACAGGGCTCGTCTCAGCTTCGTTTGCCGTAGCCGTTCAACAAAAGGGTGAAACACTTACGCCAGCGTGATGTGGTCACGGTACACAATGGTCCACTTCTGCAGCTTGAGCTTGTCGGGTCGCGTGCCGACCTGGGCAGCAATGAGCTTCTTCAGGTCGCCGATGGTGTCGTCGGGCTCGCATTTGACGCGCACGCGGCGGCCTGCGAGGTGAGAGGTCGGTCAGTAAGTGGTTGCGAGCGCGGAGAGCAACGAATGAGGAAGGCTCAACGTACCGAGACGGTCGCTGACGACTACTTCCATCATGTTTGCTGTGCTTCTTTTGTACGACTTGCTACGCTCAGATGCAGTCGGTGGTGAGGAGGTGTTGTGCCTGTGGGAGTGGCGAGGGAGGTGCACGGACATTAATTTAAAGGTATCGTACAGTAGCGTACAAAATCATAAAATATGCCGCTTCCAGTTATCTTTCATTCCAGCGCAACCAATTCGCCCTCGCCCTACCACCAGGGCACGTCTCTCCATCCCTTCCCGAGGCGGATCAACAGCCCGCCCTTCTTTCCCCGCATTGCCCACCTTCTTGCCAACCCTCTGTCCTTTCTCGCATTACCTCCACACTCACGCCCGAATCCCGCCCCTCAGCTGCCCAAGCCTTAAACTACAAGTCAATTATCAAATTTTCTCGTCTGGCTCCGCGCTCCCATCAAGGAGACGCGCATAAGGTCGAATTCCTCCGAAATGCTGTCGTCGGAATGTCATGGTCCAGTGAACCGCTTAATAGAGTGGCAACACGCCAACTCACATTCCAACAACTTTATTCCGAGCTAGAGGCGGTGCTACAACTGGACAAAGAGTCTTAAATAGCTGTCATTCGCGATCGTG